TTGCCGTGGTTACTAAAAATAGAAATTTCTTAGAAATTCTTTCAAAATGCTACTCCTCCTACAGTTCTGGTCTGATTTCAATATAACTTGGCACACAAGTAGACTACACTAAGATACATAATTCTGTGTATTGGTTTTTGATTTCGATGAACGGTGTTGCCGTGGTTACTAAAAATAGAAATTTCTTAGAAATTCTTTCAAAATGCTACTCCTCCTACAGTTTTGGTCTGAATTCAATATAACTTGACACACAAGTAGACTACACTAAGATACATAATTCTGTGTATCGGTTTTTGATTTCGATGAACGGTGTTGCCGAGGTTACTAAAAGTAGAAATTTCTGTGAAATCCTTTCAAAATGCTACTTCTCCTACAGTTTTGGTCTGATTTCAGTATTACTTGGCACACAAGTAGACTACACTAAGGTACATAATTCTGTGTATCAGTTTTTCACTTCAATGAATGGTGTTGCCATGGTTACTAAAAATAGAAATTTCTGTTAAATACTCTCAAAATGCTATTCCAAATACAGTTTTAGTCTGATTATAATATAATGTGGCATGCAAGTAGACTACACTAAGAAAACTTGATTCAAAAAAAAAAAAGAATGCCTACCAACCTACCCAGTCTAAAAATTTATATAGGTTGGCAACTGCAAACAAAGAATTTTTTAAGCTTGGTCTTATCTATATAGATAACAACTGTATTCCTTGGAAAACTTTAGTTTTACATTGAAAATCACTTCTTAACTGGAGGAATAGGAACAATATGTAAACAACTGTTGTGTAGATTCTAGTTTGTTCTATCATAGGCCTTTGTTTGGAATGGCACTAATGCAAAATACCTTAAGAATTACCATTAATGGTCTGACAAATTCATTAATTTATTAATTAAGATTGAATTTTATTTGCTGAAGGCCTACTGGAGACTAAAATTAAATTAAACATATTTTTACCAACATCTATAGAGGTAAATTGAGCAAAGTAGCACATGGACTCTCTACTCATTTGTGTGTACATGTATATGTACTAGTTTGTAAGCACTGGGGGATTTAGCGCGTGTGGCTGTGGGCTCCTACCCCGACCCCACCCCCCTTTTTTTCAAGATTCCTAGATCTGCGACTGATAAGAGCTGGAAGAAAATATAGAGAAAAGGGACTGGAATTGTTAATAATTGTGAAAAAAATTCTTTTTCTGGTGGAGTTAAACTGTATGTATTATAGTATTATTCATGGACACACTTAAAAATAGGCATGCATATTCATAAATCTCTAAAATAATCAAGACTGTACTGTCAATAAAATGAGATCTATTAAGATAAATTGATTTTACGTGCTTTCCAAATTCCAATATTAATTCTAGTGTACATGAGACATTAACCCTGTCGTAATGGAAATGCCTCAGTTGTATATCCAAACTTGTCAATAAAAAAATCTAATAACATCATATGATCCCTCTCCATGCTACTTTCTCATAAAATGATGTCCTACCTGTAATTATAACGTGTTTCCCTTCAGAAAGGCTCCCATTCTGTTTCATGATTGGTTACTTAAGAAAGACACTTTTTTAGTTTGTAGGAAAATTGTGAGGTAACATTATTCTATAAAACTATGTTTAATAGGTCCACTGCAGTAAATGTCTCCTTTACATATTTATTACATTGGAGATGTACACGCAGGATTTTGTTTATTGATCACAAGCATGCAACAACTTTGGAAAAAAAATCACTTCATTACCAACCGTGAAAACTTTGGCCAGCAGGGAGCATGTATTGGATCCTGGGAAATTCCAATAAGCTCTCTTGATTCAAAGGATGTAGCTGCATCAATATGATCAGAGCTAAAGAGATTTTGGATACTTTTATCCATGAAAACCTTTAATATCTTAATTAAACTTGGAAATGTAAACAGTGTGCTCATCTGTCATGGCAGCATCATTACATATTTATAATTTAACTGCTCAAAATAAGCAAGTAAATAATTATAACATTTGTAGGGAAAAGTTGTATCTTTTATTAAAAATGCTTTAGTTTTTAACATATAGTATGTAGGGATGCCAGGGATCTCTTTTTAACTTGCTATAACAATTAACTGTCCAAATTAAGAGCTTTGTTTTACCCTAAAGGATTGTACTGTAACATCTGTAAACATCACATTAAATTTCTATTTAAGCTCACCTGAACGGAAGGCTCAAGTGAGTTTTTCTGATCTGATCAAAGTTTGTATACTGTAAACGGGGTATGTCTTTTAACCACAATGAACCACAAGGAACCACAATGTACCACAATGAAACCACAATGAAACTACAAGGAACCACAAGGACATCTTAATTTAATTTTAATGAATCTATATATGGTTTATATGTATTTTTAGTCATCTGAGTCACACAGGTGACCTATTTCTTTCTGTTATTGTCCGACGTTGTGCTTCTTGTCCGTCTGTTTCCTAATCTTTTGAACCATTTCAGCTCCTTTTCTTGAACAGCTTATCCAATTTCAACCAATTTTGGCAGGGTAAAGGGGAGCAAAACTTTTGGATTTTAAAATCTCTTATCCACAGGGGATTAACAGCCAGATGTACTCAACAATCTATATCAGCATCCCTTACCCACTGCACAACACAAAGAAACACATTAACACCCACAAGGAACCCAGTGACACCCAAAGATACCCTAAGTGTGATAAAATTAGCAAATGATTTTATCAACCATACACCTACTCAGAGTAAGCAACCAGTATTGCATGATTTAAATAAAGTAATTGAAAATACTCATAAAAATATCCCTGAATCCACAAAGTAAAGAAAATTTACCCACAGTTTTTCGAAAGTTAAACATTATATTTAATCTTGTTATGTAGGTAAAATTGTCAAATTGCAAATATTTATGCAGAAAAATTGAATAGGAATATAAGTTATGCATTTTCTGAAAAGCTGAAACTTATATGGAAGCATCCTCAGGTAGTGTTGATTCAAGTTTGTTCAAATCATGACCCCCGGGGGAGGGCGGGGCCACAATGGCCGACTAAGTTTTACATGGAAATTAAGATATAGGAAAATTCTTTAAAAATCTTCTTCTCAAGAACCACTGTGCCAGGAAAGCTGAAACTTATATGGAAGCATCCTAGATTCAAGATTGTTGAAATCATGATCCCGGGGGGTAGGGGGGGAGGGCAAAATGGCCGACTAAGTTTTACATAGAACTATGTAGGAAAATTCTTGAAAAATCTTCTTCTCAAGAAAAGCAAAGCTAAAATTGATCATATTAATATGGAAGCATCCTCAGGTAGTGTAGATTCATGTTTGTTCAAATCATGACCCCCAGGGGTAGGGCGGAGCCAAAATGGCCAACCAAATTTTTGCAAAGAAATATATAGGAACATTTTTAAAAATTTCTTCTCAAGAATAGCAAAGCCATGATTGGTCATGGGACAACTTTTAGATTTAAACTTTTCAATAATAAACCAATTTCTACTTTTTCCTAGCCACAGTGCTCAGGTGAGCGATGTGGCCCATGGGCCTCTTGGTTACTCTTAAAATATTCATTACAGTACTATTTTTAATAATATGCAATTTATCCAAATGTTTGCTACTTTGGGATATTCTCATTGTTCTTTTTTTTTCAAAATTAAAGCAGCAGTGTATTAAAAAAAATTATGGCATACATGTACAACACAAGAGCGAGGCCTCTTGTTTCTTATAATGCTTTCGCCTATACAATTGTAAAAATTTTTGAAGCATAATCCATTAATTGTTACCCTGTAAAAGATCCATAGAATGACCAATTTGATATTTATGTAATAAAAACAAGATAAAGAGATAATTTAATCCCCAAAACGTACCTTTAAGGAATGAAATGATCACCCTTACCAAAATATTGACCTTCTGGCAACATCTTCTGGCTTTATTGCCACAATATTGCAGCAACACTCTGGCAATACATTGCCGCAATATTGCGGCTACATCGTTTTTCGTATGTTAATTAGTTTTGCGGCAATATTGCCAGAAAGGGGTTGCAGCAATATTGCTGCAAATCATGACCAAAATATTGATCTTCTGGCAACATCTTCCGGCATTATTGCTGCAATATTGCGGCAATATCGTTTTTCGTATGTAAATTAGATATAAATTGGTATTTAATAGAAATAATGATCTATCAATCTAACAATTAACAAACTGTGCTGAGGAACATAAGAATCAAGAGCATAATAAGCTACAGAGTCAGTAAGAAATAGCTACTTAAGCTTATGCTATTCTTTGATAAGATAGAAAAATTTTGTTGAAAAAAGATGTGTTTTGAAACACTTTATGCCCCCAATGGAACAAAGTTTAAAAAACCATTTTAAGCATATAGGTCACAGTCAAAGTCACAAGGTCATTGATCTTGGTGTCATTTGAAAGAACTTAATTAGTGGAATATGCATACTAAATATGAAGTCTCTATCTCTTATGGTTCGAAATTTATGGTGGGGTTTTATAAAGGCTATTTTTAGCATATAGATCACAAAAAAGGTCACAAGGTCATTGACCTTGGTGTCATTTGAAAGAGCATAAATAGTGGAGAATGGATATTAAATATGAGGCTGCCATCTTTCATGGTTCAAAAGTTATGTCAAAGGTTCAAAACATAGGTAATCAGAGATTACAGAGCTCACCTCAACGAATGTTGTCTTTGAGTAAGGCAAAGTCACACAATTAACCAACAAGAAGTGTACATTCCAAAAATGAAAATATTTAAGCAATTTTAATCTGATTTTGAAATAGACCTACATAAAAAATATAAACTAGTTCTTCTTCATGAAAATGTAATTAAAATCCAGCATCTGAAGCAAATTTGAGAGTTTTCATCTCTTGATGCAACATTTGTGCAAGTTTGGTTTATACAATGTTATATAAGCCTTATAGTTTATTGGTAATAGACCTGCACCCATAACTTTTACCTGGTCTATTAAATGTATGCAGCTGTGGGAAAGTATGCAAGAATGAAAAGGGGCTGAAAATCCACATGGGGAGGATGGGATGTAAGCCAGATCAGCAGCTAACACAACGCACAGGACAACCTGGTGAGATGGAGGAGGAAGTGGTTCAGGACGAAAACCACAGTGACCGCAGCCTCCATGTGTTAGGAAATTACGAGGATTCATACAGTGAAAGTCAGGACAGCGAGGTCAATAACCAATCACAGAGCATCAATCAACAGCAAGAAGAGATGGGAGACAACAGGGGTGCTGACAGTAATATAAGAAAGAAGAAAGTAAAATGGCCCAACAGTAACAACAAAAGCAACTGGGAACAGTTTGACAAAGATGTGGATGCAATTCTGAACACAACCCTTGCAGGCAGTATTGACAGGAAAATAGAAGCTATGACATCAATTATATACAGCGTAGGTCTAGACAGGTTTGGTGCAGAACAAAGGAAAAAGTCACAAAAAGAAGGAAGGAAGAACAGGAGAGAGAGGGAAATAGCAAAGATGAGGAAAGACTTGCGGCAGCTTCGTAAGCAGTATAGGAAGGCTACCGATGAGGAGAAACCGGCCCTATCACAGTTACGAAATAACATCAGGGAACATCTCAAGATAGCAAGAAGAGCAGAGAGAAGTAGGCGTAGAAGGAAACAGCGAGACAGAGCAAGAGCAAGATTCACAGCAGACCCATTTCAGTTTACATCAAGATTACTAGGAAATAAAGGGTCCGGATCATTGAAATCTTCGAAGGAAGATGTTGAGAAGTATTTGAGGGAGATGCACAGTGATCCACATAGGGAGGAAGAGTTAGGGGAGTGGGAGTAGTTGATACATCCAGAAGAACCAAATCAACCCTTTGATGAATCACCACCAAAACTAAAAGAAGTAGCAGATGTTATCAAGAAAGCTAGAGCAGCATCAGCACCAGGACCAAATGGTGTTCCTTATAAAGTTTATAAGAATTGTCAACGGTTGACAAAGCGCCTCTGGAAACTGATAAGAGTGATTTGGAGGAGGGGCAGATTGGCAGATAGCTGGTACAGAGCAGAAGGCTGTTTTATTCCCAAAGAAGAGAAATCAGAGGCATTGAAACAATTTAGGACTATATCGCTCCTGAACGTAGAAGGGAAGATATACCTCACAATTTTAGCAAGGAGAATGTCTAGGTACATGCTTGAGAATCAGTATATTGATATCGCTGTGCAGAAGGGAGGAGTACCCGGAGTATCAGGATGTATTGAGCATACAAGTGTACTGACACAGATTATCCGGGAAACAAAGGCGTCAAAAGGGGAGTTGGCAGTCATCTGGCTAGATCTAGCCAATGCATATGGGACAGTTCCCCATTAACTAGTCGAGCTGACACTTGAAAGATACCATGTACCAGAGAAGACGAGGGTAGTTTTAAAAGACTATTTTGACCATCTTCAACTAAGATTCACAGTACAGGATTACACAACAGCATGGCAACGCTTAGAAGTTGGAATAGTCACAGGATGCACCATATCCGTAATCCTATTTTCAGCAGCAATGAACATGATAGTCAAGTCAGTGGAGAAGAAGAGCAGAGGGCCATGGATGAAGTCAGGAGTACGCCAACCACCTGGGAGAGCATTCATGGATGATATGACAATAACAACCAAAACAGTTATTGAAGCCAAGTGGACAATACATGAACTAGAACAAGCTATCACTTGGGCAAGAATGAAAGTAAAACCAAGCAAGTCCCGTAGCTTAGTGATAAAGAATGGAAAAGTAAAAGAAGTTAGATTCATGATTGAAGGAGAGGCAATACCAACAGTCTCAGAGAAGCCAGTAAAGTGTTTAGGGAAATTCTTTAATGACACATTAACAGACAGACAAAATGTGAAAGAAACATGCAGACAGCTGGATGAATGGATGAAAACTGTGGATAAAAGTGGACTACCCGGTAAATATAAAGCCTGGATATACCAACATGGGATACTACCTCGCTTGCTGTGGCCGCTATTGGTGTATGAGGTACCAATGAGCACAGTAGAAGGGATGGAAACAACAGCGAGCAGATACCTGAGGAGATGGCTGGGGGTACCAAGAAGTTTCAGCAGCATTGGATTATACAGCTCTGGGACTAAGCTACAGTTACCTCTAAAGTCAATTACTGAGGAATTCAAGGTGACAAAGGTGCGTCAGCACTTAATGTTACAGAATAGCAAAGACGAGAAGGTTCGGACAGCAAAAGTAGATATCAGGACGGGGAGAAAATGGTCAGTAAAAGAAACTGTACAAGAAGCAGAATCCCGCTTGAGACACAGTGACATTGTGGGAAGACTGGCAATAGGAAGGCAGGGACTTGGTGTCACACCAACAGCAAGATGGGGTACAGCTTCGGTAGAAGAGAAGCGTAGTTTGGTGCAGAGGGAGGTGCGTGCAATGGAGGAAGATTCGAGAATGGTCAAAGCAGTTGGAATGAAGAAACAAGGTAGCTGGGTGAACTGGGAGAATGCACGTCAAATGAAGTTGGGTTGGAATGATATTTGGAAGATGGAACCATTCAGACTTCAGTTTAAGCTGAAATCAGTTTATGATGTTCTTCCCAGCCCAACTAATCTGGTAACATGGGGAATGACAGAAGATCCAAAGTGTGTCCTCTGTGGTAGACCAGCAAACTTGGAGCACATATTATCAGCATGCTCAGAGGCTTTGAAAGATGGGAGATACACTTGGAGACATGATAGAGTCCTAGCCAGTATAGCCGACACCTTGGAGAAAGGTATTAAAAGGCCAAAGAAGAACGCAGAGAGCCTGAGATTCGTCAACTTTGTGAAAGAAGGTGAAAAGGGACATAAAGTTAGAGTTGAAGGAAGTGGTCTCTTGGGGACAGCAACAGATTGGCAGATGCGGGTAGACCTTAAGGAAAGATTAGTATTTCCACCGGAAATAATAGCCACAAACAAGAGGCCGGATGTAGTCCTTTGGTCAATGGCTACAAGACAGACAATTATTTTGGAGTTAACAGTGCCATGGGAAGAAAGGATGGAGGATGCATATGAAAGGAAAAATCTTAAGTACCAAGACCTACTGAAAGATTGTCAGCAGAACGGATGGAAGGTCTGGTTTTTTGCAGTGGAAGTGGGTTGTAGAGGATTCGTGGGACAGTCTATGTGGAGAGCACTGAGAGGCATTGGCATAACGGGAGCAGAGAGAAGGAGGCTGATAGGGAATCTGTGCAGGGAGACGGAATCAGCGTCCATGTGGTTGTGGAGAAGAAGAGCAGATAAGTGGAAAGACAATAAACATTAGTGAGATAGACAGCAAAGGTAGAACAGCAGTGATGTGAATAAACAACAGTAAGACAGACACTGAATTAGTACAGCAGTGATGTAGAGCCAAGTGGTTCCAGGCTGGGACTTGATCACCCCAGTCGGCGCACGTCTGGAGGCTGTAGTGGACAGCGCCGAAACAGCTGATGAAGGAGGATCCACCTGAGGATGGAACCACGCATCTTTCCATCAAGATGTATACAAGTAATCTAAAAATGTATGTCGAATTCAGCATCTGAAGCAAGTCCATTAGTGTGCATCCTAAGATGTATCATCCATGCAAGTTTGTTCATTATAGGGCTCATAGTTACTTGGAAATGAATCATGCACCAAAAACTTTAACCTATTCACTCAACTGGAAAATGTAGGTCAGATACAGCATCCGAAGCAAGCCTGGTAGTATACATCCTTATATGTATAATCCATGCAAGTTTGGTCAACATAGGGCTTATAGTTACTTGGAAATGAAACCTGCACCAAAAACTTTACCCTGTTCACTCAACCAGAGAATGTAGGTCAGATTCAGCATCCGAAGCAAGCCCTGTAGTGTGCATCCTTAGATGTACCATCCATGCAAGTTTTGTCAACACAGGGCTTATAGTTACTTGGAAATGAAACCTGCACCAAATACTTTAACCTGTTCACTCAACTGGAAAATGTAGGTCAGATTCAGCATCCGAAGCAAGCCCGGTAGTATGCATCCGTAGATGTATCATCCATGCAAGTTTGGTCAACATAGGGCTTATAGTTACTTGGAAATGAAACCTGCACCAAAAACTTTAACCTGTTCACTCAACCGTAAAATGTAAGGTCAGATTCAGCATCCGAAGCAAGCCTAGTAGTATGCATCCTTAGATGTATCATCCATGCAAGTTTGGTCAACATAGGGCTTATAGTTACTTGGAAATGAAAATACACCAAAAACTGCACCAAAAATGTTAACCTGCTCCAAAAACATTAACCTGGTCATTCCTTTGCTGAAATTGCAGCATCTGAAACTTTGACTGGTACGATGAATCACACTAGAACCATCTTCCATGCATGTCTAATCAATATAAGACATAGAAGTACTTAAAAAGAAAACTGCTCCAAAAAACTTAACCTTAACCCGGGACGCCGACGCCGACGCCGAGGGTATTACATAAGCTCCCCCAACTTCGTTGAGGTGAGCTAAAAATCTATTTTAAGTATATGGCTCACAGCAAAGGTTACAAGGTCAAAGACCTTGGTGTCATTTTAAAGACCCAAATTAGTTGAGTATGCATATACTAAGGATATAGTCTCTATTTCTCCTGGTTCTTAATTTATGGCAAATATTCAATAAAAACTATTTTTACCATATAGGTCACAGTTAAGGTCACCAGGTCATTGACCTTGGTGTAATTTGAAAGGACTTAATAAGTGGAGTATGCATACCAAATATGAAGTCTCTATATCTCATTGGTTCAAAAGTTATCACATATGGCAAAGTTTAAAGTTTACAAGCAGATTGGACAAAAACAATATGCGCCCTAATCTATCAATCCGGGCACATAAAAAATGTGTGTACAAAAAATATTAATATGCCACTGTAAAAATGTCCAGCAACTCTGCATTAATTTTCAAATAACCTTATAATTAGCTGCCCATCACATATTCCCCAATGCCAATCAGTATAATGTATAATACATAGCTTGTTTGTAATTTCCAACATATATATAGAATCATTATTTTCTTGCAGGTATATATTCAAATTTATGCAATAAATTAATCATATATGTGCATGCATTTAATTGATAAGTTATGCATTCATCTTCTCCTGCAACAATGGTATGATATATATAGACATACAAGTATTGATTAACTAATAGTTAGTCTGCATGGCTATAATCTGTAACCACTCCATAAAATTATTTCATTTTATCATATATGCTCATTTATTAATCATCATAAAGTTGATTTGAACATGTTTTATTTAGTAATAAAAAAAAATAGAATGCACAGCATTCCTTGTCCATGTAAGTAAGCCCTCAATACTCTGAATGACAAAAGATCGAGATTATTTCCTTTATTTAGTGCAACTACTGTTACAGTTTTTAAAAAGTTAATAATCTAATACGACCCATCTAATATCTCATTTCCAGAGTCCTTTATCCTTTTAACTTAAATTTTACATATTTTTTAGCAGACTTAAAGCATTTTATAAGCATACCAAAATTTTGACAGCTTGATGCCCAGGAGTAAGGAAAATGATTTTTAATATTGCATTAATTTTGATGGTTTTAGTCCCACACCTCAGGCCCTGTGGGTAAGAGATTTTGAAATCCAAAAGTTTTGCTCCCCTTTACCTATAGATGCTTTGTACCCTGCCAAAATTGGTTGAAATTGGATAAGCTGTTCAAGAAAAGGAGCTGATTAGGAAACAGACGGACAGGAAGCACAAAGTCGGACAATAACAGATAGAAATAGGTCACCTGTGTGACTCAGATGACTAAAAATGCATATAAACCATATATAGATTCATTAAAATTAAATCAAGATGTCCTTGTGGTTTCATTGTGGTTCATTGTGGTTTCATTGTGGTTCCTTGTGGTTCATTGTGGTTAAAAGACATACCCCTGTAAACGTATTACATTTGGTGGTGTATTCTTTTTAGCATTTTTGGTGGAAGGAAACTTTTGCTAATTCAAGTACAACGCTAAATGTCTTAAAGAAATGTGCTAAATCAAATCTACGCTAACTTGTTCAAAAACCAATTTCCGCCAAATATTGTACACGCTTAATATAATACATTTACAGTATTGTCTGTCGTTTTTGTCAATGTCATTGTCATTAATAAATTTGCATAATTTCATCTTCTGGGCCAATATCAACCAAATTTTGCACAGAGTATCCTTGGGTGAAGATGATTCAAGTTTGTTCAAATGAAGGGCCACGCTCTCTTCCAAGGAGAGGTACTGGGGTAATTACAAATTAGTGAAAAATTTGTTCACATCATGACCTCCAGGGATAGGGAGGAGCAACAATGAACAAAGTTTTACATAGTAGGAATATATAGGAAAATCTGTTAAAATTTTCTTCTCAAGAACAGCAAAGCCAAGATTGGTCACATTCTCAAGCTACGTAGATTCAAGTCTGTTCAAATCATGACCATTTGGGTAGGGTGTGGCCACAATGGATGATAAAAGTATAGAGGAAAAAATACTTTAAAAACCCTCTTCTCAAGAACAGCAAAGCCATGATTGCATGGTCATATTTATATGGGAGCATCATCAGGTAGTGAAGATTTAAATTTATTCAAATCATGACCCTTTGGGGGTAGGATGGGACCACAATGAAAGTTCAATCTTTTAGGAAAAATGCCACTGTCAAAGAAATATGTACAGTAAGCATTGTTAGTTAGTGTAGATGCAATTTTGTTCAATTCACATCCCCATCCCCTTTTAGGGTAGAGTAGATGCAATTTTGTTTAAATCAAACCCCCATCACCACCCCCTTTTAGGGTAGCCTGGACATCGTGCATGTGAGCTTTTCAATACTGAACTGATTTCTGATTTTTCTTAATCAGTGTTCAGGTGAGCAATGTTACCCATGGGTTTCTAATTTTTAATTCTAACTTAACTTATGAAATGAGATAATGTCTTTCAAATTAAGAAGACATGCAGCTTCCTGATGAGAATAATTTTGGGGTCCATGTATCATTTTCATACAAATGAGATGAGATATTTCTTTTCTTAAGTATCTTGCCTGTGACCTCTCTTGCCCTTCTGACAACTCTATAGTAAACATTCGGCATGTTTTACTGTGGAAAGCCTCAAGAGTCTTAACAATCAATTGGCATTTGTGTTTGTTATTGATTAGGTTAGATATAAGAATGCTCAACACTGATTTAATGATATTTGATTTGATTCAACCAAAAATTCAGCTGTGATTTAGAGTAAGCATCTTATACATGTAGCAGAATTTGTTGCATCTGTTTGGAGGTAAAAAAATTGTGTGAAAAGATACAATTAAGCTAAACACTTGTACATTTTATTTAACTTTTTTTCCCTAATGTATTTAATATGGGTTTCACTTTTTAGCTCACCTGAGCCAGAGGAGAATAAAATATACAAATTGGTTTAAGAATGTGTCTGGAATTAGGGGGTGAAAGGTAGATGATTTACCAAAGTTGGAAAGTGGAGAAATTCTCCCAAACAGTGCGCAAAAAATCTTGCGCTGTAAATTGCACATTTTTTTAATTACGGGATCTGTAGCATTATGGTCAAAGACTAAAACCATAACACTACAGTTCTGCAGCTAAGCCAAAATCAGAAATCCAAATTTTATCTGTTGCATTTAAGGGAAAAAATATCTTGTATTATAACAGCTGGGTCCTGATGATCATTGATTTAACTTTGAATAAAACACCTGTAGGTCTTCAAGGAGGAAAATATTATAAAAAAAATCTGCTAGACCAAAGTGACTGACAGATAAGCTTTGTGGCCTTTTGGCCACTTGTTTAATAAGCATCAGATTGAAGTTTAATTTGCACATTTGAAAAGACGTGATTATTTTCAAATACTTATTGTGTAGATTGAGTCCAGATCCTACATGCTCAACAGAATGTCTGTGACATTAATCTACATTCAATCCATCAGTTAAGCCCACTGTTTTTTTCCATGAAGGAGATTACTGTAAATCACTTTTTATTCGCGATAACTTTATTTTCGCGTAATTACGCGAGACGGTATGTTCGCGAAAATTTCATTCTCGCGGATTAAATAGAATTCCTTAAGATTATATACAGCAATGACCACAATTCGTGAAAACTTTGTCTCGCTAATAAAGAGTCAATGACTATCTCGCGAAAATAGCGTTTCGCGAAAATTAAGTGATCTACAGTAATTAAAACATTGATTAGAAAAGTCAATACCGAATAATCCCTATTAACTGCCTCGTGCGCTTAGAAAATTGCAAAAGGGGGCGGTTATTTTAGTATTCTCTTTATAATATTTAATA